ACTTGTTCCTGACTATGATGCTTTGGATGTTGCCAACAAAATTGGGATCATCTAAACTGAGTCCAGCTGGCTAATTCTAAATACAAATTTTTCTTACCATAAAAAAAAACCAAAACAAAAACAGAACAAAACAATGGCCTGTCAATAATCCCACTTAATGTAAATGGCTTAAAGGCATCAAACTGGAAAAAGGAGTAGCAGAATGCATTAAAAAACCAAAGCTCATCAATATGTTACCTACAAGAGACACATCTAGAAACAAGGAAAAAGATAAACTAAAAAAAAACAAAAACAAAAACAAAGACTGAGAAAAAAAACTATACCATGCAAATGGCACCTACAAAAAAAGCAGAAGTGGCAGTTACAATCTCTGATAAAACAAACCATGACGAAACAAACTTCCATGGATGAAAACCATCATAAAAGATAAGGAAGATGGCAAAGAGGAGGTAAAATTATCTCTATATGCGGATGATATGATAGTATACCTAGAAAACCCTAAAGACTCAGCAAGGAAACTACTGGACATCTTTGACCAATTCAGCAAAGTGGCAGGATACAAGATCAACATACAAAAATCGGTTGGATTTCTCTGCAGTGACAAAGAGAATACAGAACTGGAGCTAAGAAGAACAATACCCTTCACAACAGCTAATCACAAGATTAAATACGTGGGAGCAAATCTAACCAGAAGCACAAAGGATCTATTCAAAGAAAATTACAAAACATTACTACAAGAAACAAAAAGAGACCTGGAGAAATGGAAGAATTTACCCAGCTCATGGATAGGGTGACCCAATATTGTGAAAATGACAATACTACCAAAGGCAATTTACATGTTCAATGTAATCCTAATACAAATATCAATTCCATTCTTCAATGAGATGGAAAAGGCAATCTTCAGTTTTATTTGGAATGGAAAGAGGCCCTGAATAAGCAAGGTACTCCTTAAAAAGAGAAACAAGGTAGGAGGTATCTCACTCCCTGATTTCAAATCCTACTACCTACTTGCCGTGGTGGTCAAGACAGTGTGGTAGTGGTAAAATGACAGAAATATAGATCAATGGAATAGAATTGGGAACCTGGAAATCAGCCAATCTACCTATGGTCAACTGATTTTTGACAAGGAGATGAAATCAGTTAAGTGGGGAAACAACAGCCTTTCTAACAAATGGTGTTGGCAAAATTGGAAAACTATCTGCAGAAAACTCAAATAAGATCCATGCCTCACCCCATAAATAAAGACCAACTCAGAGTGAATCATGGACCTAGGACTAA